CTGGAGGTACTGCGCCTGGGGGTGCTGCGTCTGGGGGTGCTGAGCCTGCGTGTGCGGAGTCTGGGGGTGCTGAGTCTGGGGGTGAGACGCCTGAGGGTACTGAGACTGCTGGTGCGCGGTCTCCTTGGAGCAGATGCCTTCGTCCGCGTGTACCTCTCACCTCACAGCAGCTGCACGACTGGTACGGTCGCCGTCAGTGTCGCGCTGCTGGAGCTCGGAGTACTGCTGCTGGAGGTGCTTCTGTTGACGTTGCTAGTCCCGGAGGTGCTCGTACTGGAGGTACTGGAGCTGCTGGGGCTGGAGGCGCTGTGCTTGTGGGTGCTGCTGCTGGAGACACTGAGGCTGGAGACCCTGGGACTGGAGGTGCCGGTTCTGGGGGTGCTGCTGCTAGTAGAGCTGGTCCTGGAGGAGCTGGCGCTGGGGGTTCTGGAGCTGCTGGAGGTGCTGGAGCTGCTGGTGCTAGTGGCACTGCACAGCCACGCCGGTTCTTCGCTCCACCGTCTCCGTCGTCTCAGCCACCACCTGACTCTGTGCTTCGCCAGGTTCTTAGCCTACCGTCGTCTACTGGTCTTCCGTTATAGCCTGGCTCACCGCTGCCTGCTCCTTCTCCTTACACTGAGCAGACAGGGGGTCTTGCTGAGCGTCGTGAGCCTGCGTCGCGTCCTGTCTCGTCTGTCCGCTCTGGTCGTTCCGGTCGTCGTGTTCCTCGTTCGCGTCAGCCGGCTGTCCCCGGCACACACCTCGTAGTCCGTCGTCCTTCCTCTGCTCCGCAGCCTGTTCCTCTGCCGTCTCCCCCTGCGTCCTCTCTGCCTGACGTTCCGGACCCTGAGTCTAACCGGTTTCGTGCTGAGCACCCTACTGTCACGCGTCTGTTAGCCACTGTTGTCACTGACCCGTCGTTTGAGTCTGCTGCTGCATCTGCCTTGGTCGTTAAGCTTCTAGACTTTGCTGCTGCCTGTCATCTAGACTACGCCGCTAGTCTCGTTGCTGAGTCTGAGTCTGTCTGTCCTCCATCCGTCGGGGGTGAGTGTGCTCTTGGCACGGACGTCTTTGAGGACAGGCAGGAGGACCTTGAGTGTCTTGCGGCCGCTGCGCCTCATCTCGTGGCCATGCTGCTTGCCCCAGAGGGAGACCCGGATGCACCAGACATCCCTACCCCGCGATCTTACGCTGAGGCGATTGCGGGTCCCTACTCCTCTCAGTGGCAGACAGCCATGGACGCAGAGATGGCATCCTGGAAGTCCACAGGCACTTACGTCGACGAGGTTCCCCCTCCAGGGGCGAACATCGTCGATGGCATGTGGATTTTCAGGGTGAAGTGGCCGCCGGGTTCTCCGCCTATCTTCAAGGCTCGTTACATTGCTAGAGGCTTCAGTCAGCGAAAGGGAGTTGACTTCTTCCAGACCTTCTCTCCCACCCCGAAGATGACTACTCTTCGGGTGCTGCTGCACGTTGCCGCTCAGCGTGACTACGAGCTTCACTCTCTGGACTTCAGCACAGCTTTCTTACAGGGCAGCCTGTACGAGGAGATCTGGCTGCGCCGCCCACCTGGCTTCACTGGGTCGTTCCCTCCTGGTACCCAGTGGAGCCTCCGGCGGCCAGTCTACGGTCTCCGCCAGGCGCCTCGTGAGTGGCACGACACACTGAGGACTACACTTGCGGCTCTTGGGTTTGCGCCTTCGACAGCTGACCCGTCTCTGTTTCTGCGCACCGACACTTCACTGCCGCCGTTCTACATCCTCGTGTACGTCGACGACTTGGTTTTTGCCCGCTACGTGGCTCCTAATTGGCACCGAAAGGTGCACATGGATGCTGCAAAGAGGGTACTGCGTTACTTGTGCAGTACATCGAGCATGGGGCTCGTGCTTGGAGGGCGGAGTGAGGTGGTCCTCACTGGGCACTCAGACGCCTCTTGGGTTGACGACCAGGCTACACAGCGGTCGTCACAGGGTTACACTTTCAGCCTTGGCTCCGGTTCTGTTTCTTGGCGTTCTACTCGTTCGTCTTCTGTTCTCAGCTCCAGTTGTGAGGCTGAGATCTACGCCACCGCCATGGCTGCTCAGGAGTTACGCTGGCTCACCTACCTGCTAACCGACTTGGGAGAGAGGCCTCGTTCTCCTCTAGTTCTGTACGTCGACAACAAGGCCGCCATTGCCTTGTGTGAAGAGCACAGACTGGAGCACAAAACGAAGCACATCGCTCTGCGTTACTTCCTGGCTCGAGAGTTGCAGCAGCGGGGTCAGCTTCGCCTTGCTCACGTGGCCACTCAGGCCAACACTGCTGATATATTCACCAAGGCACTTCCGTCTGGTGACCATCAGCGCTTTTGCACTTTGTTGGGCCTTGTGCCTACGTTTCCACACTTGTTGTAGACTCTGCTTGTACTGTGATCTATATATATATTCCTGCATGTTTGCTCTTGCTGGGTAGAGATCACTGTACTGTTCTAATTGCATATATACCTCTGCATGTGAACTGGCCTTGTGGCCGTTTGCTTGTGCTCAGTGTGTGTGGTGACGTTGTGATCCACCCTGAGCTTGCTTTGCTTTTCTTGACTGGTCTTGTGACCTCTTGCTCTCCCCCACTTTGCCTATGGGGGTGTGTCAAAATATGTATATGTTATATTTGTGGGTAGGCTGTAGTGGGGTAGATACTGTGGGGTATAACCCCTTAGGGTTTCCTTCTTGTACAAAAATTTCTCTCGATAGTGATTATCCATGCCTAGTTCTTAAGAAAGAGAGCATGAAAACCATATCAAACCTTAATGGAATGAGTTGAAATTGATAGGGGGGTCAGAAATACATGTGTGAGAGTGCCCTATGTAAATGGGCTCACTTGCCCAAGGAGAAGCTGGTGATTTCACTTGCAAGCTGGTTCCAGGCAGTTCTGCACAGAATTCTGCACCCACCTGCAGAAGAGAGCATGAAAACCATATCAAACCTTGATGAAATGAGGTGAAATTGATAGGGGGGTCAGGAATAGATGTGATGAGAGTGCCCCATCAAAATTGGCTCATTTGCCCGAGGAGAAGTGGGTGATCACTCTAGAAACCTGGTTCCAGGCAATTCTGCAACCGCCTGCAGAATTGAACATGAAAACCACACCAAAGCTTAATGAAATGAGGTGAAATTGATAGGGGGGTCAGGAAAAGATGTCATTTGAGTGCTCTTTGAAAATCAGCTGATTTGCCCCAGCAAAGATGGGTGATTTGACTCTGAACATCACATTAGGCGGCTCTGCACTGAATATCTTGCAAGAAAAACACACCAAAGCTGTGTGCAATGAGCTTTGAATGTTATGGGGGGCTGGAATAAGTGTCAAAACACTAACAGAACAAAAACAACTGGTCACCATAAAACACATGTGCGTGATGCTCATAGAATGACACTGCAACTGCTAGGAGTAACCTTAGTTGAGCCAAAAGTGACAAAATGAGTGATTTTGGCAAAAAAAAAAAAAAAAAAAACATGTATGAGGCGGAATGGTAATGGTAATGAGGTGGAATAATAATGGTAATGAGGCGGAATGGTAATGGTAATGAGGCGGAATGGTAATGGTAATGAGGTGGAATGGTAAAGGTAATAAGGCAGAATGAAAATTCTAATGAGGCGGAATGGTAATGGTAACGAGGCAGAATGGTAATGGTAACGATCGGAATGGTAATGGTAACGAGGCGAAATAGTAATGGTAACGAGTTAGAATGGTAATTGTTACGAGGCGGAATGTCAATGGTAATGAGGCGGAATGGTAATGGTAATGAGAGGGAATGGTAATGGTAATGAGGCGGAATGGTAATGGTAATGAGGCGGAATGGTAATGGTAATGAGGCGGAATGGTAATGGTAATGAGGCGGAATGGTAATGACATCAAGGAGATGCAGCAAATCTAGATTTCACTCAAAATGGACCACAAAATATAGAGTTATGAGCCAAAGCATAAGGAATTATGACTTAGCCATTTTGGCATTCTGCTTGTCTGAATTACAACATAGTGTAAACAACATTGGTTATACATAAGGACGCGGCACCTGTTTTGACTTTGCCAGGATCGATCGTGGGAGGGGATCAATGTTCCGCTTGTACAGTGTATTGACGAGGTCGTCAATGACTGGTATCCGTTTTTCGCATAAAGTCG